AGAAATTACTGGGTTACATTTCCAAAAGCTAAATGTATGTACAGAGTCTGGTGCTCTGAAGACTTTGCAAGAGCCTAGCTTTTCTTTTCTGATTGTCTAGACCATTTGCCTTGAGACACACTAGCATTATGCGTAATGACACAGTGTCATGGAAAAATTAGATTCAAGTGATTTAGGGCGGGGAAGGGAGATAGTCCTTTTAAACACTCTAAAATGAGCAAGAACGGACTCCAGGAGACTAGGGATGATTCTAACTGTTTGTGGCAGTAGCTCTTCACAGATATGCACAATCATGGTCATGTGCAAGCTCTACCACCTGAATACAGTACATTCATCACAGATAGGATGAGACCAAGAAGTCAAATGGCATTTGAAAAGCAGAGTTCAGAATGCTAAGCAGGAGACGCATTGGAATCACGCAATCCATTTGCTCTCTTCCCATTCTAGAGATCTTGTGATTTTTAAAATTAAATACAGATAGCTAAAAAATAAACCAGCGAAATGTTCCATCCTCTTAGACCCTTCTACTGTGAAGGATGATAGGACTTACGTTAAGAGTAGGTACTCATTAAAATGTGTAAAGATGAAGTGAGCAGACACAAGGCAATTGATCCAGATGTTAGCATATGTTGCCTAGCTTTGCCAATTAGACAGGAGCATCCTTCCTAAGGATACAGGGATGGTTGGTTGCCAGGATGACATGGGAAGCGTGACTCTATTTCTGCCTCTTGTTTGCCCTGGCTTCTCGTTTCTTTCACGCTATCTGCAAAAACACCCGCAAGAGGCACTGATGACTGTGTATTCTGGAAAATGCACACTGTCAGAGACCACCAACCACAGTGATAAAAATAAGTGGCAGAAGGCTATCGACTTTAGGATCACCAGGGAGGGAGATTTGCTACTGTCTCACACAGGCGAAGGTGGGCCAGCTGCTCCCTACCTTCAGGTGCTCCTGCTTGGAAACATTTTTCTTCTTTACAGAAGTACCTGGGCCTTGTGTTATGATTGCTCTGTGTGCTGCATGGATTATTCCCCATCCGTGCTCTTCAGGGAGCTCCTTCTGACTCCAGTCTATGTGTCTTGTCTATGGCAGCAACTCTGCCCACCACCTACCTTCCCCTTGCACATACAGCTATCTTCCATCCGAATAGAACATTTTGATGTATTTTATGTTCAACACCTGCCTCAGGGCAGATGGTTAAGAAGTATTTGTGGCCTAGGAAAAACTTGTGATTTTGACTCCATTTCTTCCAGTTTGGGGAGCTGCAGATAGATCAACTGTAAACTGAAGACTATTTTCCTTGCATATCAAACAGCTTGGTTCAATAGTAGTTAATTCAAATCTGATACAAAAAGATCACTTCCTTGCTTTCCTATGCAACACAAGAGCCTATTAGGATTTTGAGCAGCCAATATTCCTTCATCTTAGCCTTCTTATCCAATGCCATTTTTTCCCAGCTTCTCCATGTCAAGACAAGTCCATGTGCTTCTCCGAGGGTAGGCTCAGAAACGAGACATGGGAGGGAGTGCTCATGGCTTCTCTCAACGCAGGGGTGAGGTCCCTGCAGAGTCAGCTCGGGAGTGAGGGCAGGTGGTGGGCTTATCCCCTGTCCCTCATTTCCAAGAGGAAAGTTCTCTATTAGTGCTAACAGTGGAAATCTCTACTTGATATAAGAAAACACTGCATAGCATCTAACTTCATACACCTCTTTTTTCACTCTCTGCCCCTGCATATTTTCCACCCACCTTCCCTTCTAGTGTACCATAGATTATCTCTCTCTCTATCTATCTTTCTATCTATCTATCTATCATCTATCTATCTATCTCTCCCTTTCTCCCCTCTGTCTCTCTTCTGTCTCCTGTTCAAAATTTGTAATGGCATAATGGATTCCCCACAGCTCACTTTCACCAGACCAACTTTCACCCATGCAGTCTTCATGCCTGGCTTTGTGACCACTTCTGTGAGGGCTTCCCTAAGCACCTGCTACCTCACCTCTGGTGTGGGATAGCTTCTTTCCTCTGAGCACTCATGAAAGCCTACAACTTCTATTTAGTTAGTTCCACACTTGGCCAATTATGTTCTGTTCTAAATTTACAAATATATCTCTGGTCTAGATTGGACCCTCAGTGAAAATTTATTAAATGTATGAATGAATGAATGACACAATGGAAGTGCAGCTGATGGCAGCTGGCTGTGCAGGGCAAATGCTCTCCCCTGGCCTCTCTCTAAGGCTGCCCCCTCGCCCTTCTGGAAGCAACAGGAGGTGCATTTCCACTGTGTGTCCTACTTTTGAGCTGCTATCTAGCACAGACTGAAGTGATGGCTAATCCCATGAAGACGGGAATCTAGCTTTTTGTGTTGCCCCTTTCCTCAGCCTTGCAGAACTGTCCCTTTCAGCCTGTACTGAACTGCTCACGTGACTCCAGCTTCTTCCGACTCCTCCCTGCTTCTCCGTGTTTATTTTGGTTCACGAACAACAAATTCCAAATAATTGCAATGTTAGTACCTTTTATTTCTAACTGGTTTTAAGAAACTCCACAAAGTGTACAAACCAAAAAAGAAAAAAAATGATGCTGAGAATAAAGACATACTAGGCCATTATCTTGGCAGGCAATATTTTTTTATAATTTTTATAACTGATAATAGAATGTCCCCTGTTATTTTATACATATACATATAATGTGTATATTTATAGTTATATAGATATAGATATATATATATATCTGTACTTTAATAGAAAGAGACATAAAAAAGCCTTTTTAAATGAGTCATGACACATAATACTTGACACTTATTTACAATACAGAGGTGTACTTTCCACATGATTATAGTAGATGCTCAGAAGTGAGAGATGGTTTACAAAGACAGTGGGACACCCCTATCAAAAAAGGGGGACACTATGCAGCTGGACATTTATTGCCATTAGTTCTTACTATGTCCAGACTGCACATGGAAGGTTAAGGTGGCATCTGGGTATTGGAAAAGATGATGGTCATTGGACTGATCCTGTGCCATCACCCCCAGTGACAGGATCTGCCAAGTGGCTGAAGAATGACAGAATGGTGATGAAGGGAACTAGAAACACAATATGAAATGTACCCATCAGAGAGGACGTGTTCCCTCACGGCCAGAAGGGAGATGTTGCTACAAGCCTACGGCTCTGCAGAGTGCACAAACACTTGTCTAGATCAGGGAAACCAGCATCAAGAATTGCCCAACCAGGAAACAAATGTTTCCCAAGTAACAAAGCCAAGCATCCCCGCTTAGGAGCAGTCAGAGACTGAACCAAGCACCAACTCAGGAACTCACGAAGAATATCCAGTGGCAAACCCAAGTGTTCAGCTAAGTACATAAGGAACTTTCAGAAAAGACCCAAGAAAAACTCGAAATCCACTGTAGGAGTGTCTCCCTTGGAATGACACTCCAAGCCCACACCAGCACCATGACATAGGTTTGGAAAACCCACAAGCTTGCTCTTCTGCAAAGTTGTCTATGAAGACTTAGTTCTTGTGTTCTGGATTTAAATTCAAATGAGAGGGGTTGGTAACTTTCAGAGGAGCCCAGATTCACATGGTATCATTGCCCTGCTATCTGTGACCTGGAGCCAGGCTGCTCTGTGCCTGGGACTGGTGAGTTTGTGCACTCAGAAGGGACTTTCTATAGAAAAACCACAGGCTCCCATTGCTATTCCTCAGCACAACTAAATGAGTCGTTCGTCTGTCTCCTGTGTTTGGGACTGTGTTAAACATCTTGGGAACTTTCAGAACTTCCGCTGGAATTCACTTACCCAGAAGAATTTGTGATGCATCTTCAGTCTGCCTTCTGTTCTGTAATCTGATCTCATTCTCATCCCTATTACTCACTTGGCTTTAATGGATGGTGACCTTTCCTAGCCCTTTGTTTTCCTAAGGCAAGAAGACATTTCTGTTGGTAGATAACCAGCACCTGCCTGGAGCCCCCTCTGAGTATTTCATCCGGCACTCTTCCATTTAGATATCTTTCTCTTTCCATGGATAGGAGCAGCTGGCCATGGTCCTGGTTTTTTTGTGATTGCATTCCACACTAACACAGCCTTTCCTTGGAAGCGTGCCATTGGAAAGTGCACACATTAGTGCACGAATCCCCGTGTCCCCTTCTGTGAGTGTGCAGTCTTGCTGTTTTCCCTACTGCAGACAGAGATCTAAGCAAAAACAATTTGTGAACCAGACGATGCATAGAAAAGGTGTGAGAGAGTAGGCAACATTCAGTACAGTTCAGTACATTCCCTATTGCTGGTTTGGTTTGTAACAAGCATACATTTTGTTTGTATATACCACGAACACCCTTCCCTCTCTGCTCCTCCCCATTCCCCCCTGCCTCTCACCCCATCCACTGCTGTTACAGAATAAAACGGGGCGTGGCCGCACGTTCCTTCATCCCTTTCCTTGTTTAGAAAACGTGGAGTGAGAATGACAATGTGGATATCACATCTTTTGAAGGAGTGGCACATCTGAGTGTATGGAGGATTCTATTTACACAAATATGTTCCATTTCTGCACAATGGGCAACCTGAGTTCTGAAATGCTTGTCTGCACTTAAACCAAAATGGTAAAGCTATGAGCTAGTCACAGATTAGACAAAGCTACTTCAATTGGAGCCATCTCTCTCTGACCCAGTGTTTTTCAAAGATGGGCTCACCAATTCCAAGGATTCTGGTTTTTTTTATCTTCCTTGTTTTTCTTAGAAAGCTTCTTGAATGAGACTCCAGGAGGCGAGGCAAATTCAAGCAAAATTTGTTGTGTTTGACACTATTTGTTCACCTCTCCCAAATGTCTGAAACAAAAGCACCTCAATGCGAAGTCCCACCCCAGCCTTCCAGCCCTCCCAGCCATCCATCCAGCTGACCTCCTGCAGCTCTACCCTGGACCGCACAAGTCTGTGAAAGGGCGTCGTAGCTAAAGAGCTTGATGGATGTGAAACACGTCCGGAGAGTTACCCCAGGCTGGCTTCCTCACAGCCGCTACTTGAAATAGTTGAGTCCCGCCACCAAGAAAAACTTCTCCAGGAAGAGTTCTGAGTCCAGCACGGCAATGTGAGCAGCACGGCCGATCAGGGTGTTGGCAGTGTTGGGCAGAGCGTGGAACACGTTGTGTCGGATCAGAGAGCAGTCCTTGGCTTCCACCAGAGGGCCCAGGAGGTTGTTGATCATTTCCGCGTACACTGGCCCTGGAAGGAGGGAAGAGGATATGAAGGCCTAGGTAGAAGCTACTAGAAACATTTAGAGAGCAAGACTCTGCGTGTTCACCAAGGGGCAGAGTGTGAAGATCAGTTTCCTACTTGTATAGGATATAAAAGAAATGAAGTCAAAGTTCTCTTCCTCTGGTTAGATTAAAAGCTAGGGGCACTCGAGGGTTTCCACATGACGGCTTTGTGGTCTGTGCCAGAAGAGGCGTGGTAGTGGGGGACGAGGAACTCAGAGGAGGGCTGTTCTCTCCATGGAGGGCCAGGAGGAAGAGAAGGGAGACACCAGCCAGGACAGTCACTCAGAAACCAAACAAGTCCCACTGCAGGAGATCACATATCGAGACACATCTCAAGAGATCCGTGGAAGCTAATACCTACTGACGCCATGTCTCCTACAAGTCAAGTTGGCTCCTGAGCACCAAGGAGAAGAAAGAAGAGATTGTAGGGTATAGGGTGGTGGTTGTGCCTTATCTTTTATAATTGTACGTCAGAACTGATTATCCTTTCTACCTAAGAATTAACGGGACCGTGATTTTGCATCAGGCATGGTAGGTAGGGGGCGCTCTTCTAGCCACGCTCTTCTAGTCATTACTAATGGACCAGTATGCGCACTGAGGCTGAAGTTCGGACCTGGAAGGCCTGTGCTCTTCCCGATCATGATAACTGCTGAATCGTGTAGGGACCTGTTCTAGCATGAACCAGAGGGCTAGAGTGCTTAACATTGACTCACTGGGGCAATACTCCAAATAATAGGATCTGTTTCATAATGTCGGCATGATGGCCTGCATTTATACAGAGAACGGCTCTTCGCTGAGTCTGGCAGCTGGTCAGCCTACTCCAGACATTCCTCCAAGCCCTCTGCTGCCCTTTCCCCCAGAGTTATCCAGCCATTTTTGGATCTGCTCTCCTGGACCAGGAAGGGCAGAGACCTTCACACAGGGCCTGGGCCACTTCAGTCTTCTAACCCCTTCCTCAAAGTTTTGACCAAAACCTTTGAGGCAGAGAAGGTAGAGATATAAATTGAAATAATTAGGAATTTGATTTTTTTTAAAGAAATTAGTTAAGAGGTAAAAATCCTTTCTTAAAGTGTCTATTGCTATATGAGAATAGTGGTTATTACCTATTACCATCACTAGGGAGAGGCTGGATGGTTATCAGCTATAAAACAATTTACATGCAGAATGCTTGTTTCAGAAAAGAAGGGAAAACCAGTCAAAAGTTGACATGAAAGGAGTGAGCCACATAAACCTTTCTTCACAGGCTAGTCTGCCGGCTGTGCCCTTTGAAAAGGATGTTGTGGAAACCACAGGATTACAAGAATACTACAGGAATGTTGCCAAGCAACGGGAGCAGAAGCATCTAATGGTTGTGCCACTGTCAGAATGTGTTTAAATTATGTGCGCAATGAAGGCCAACAGGCCATTAAAGAATAAAATAAAACAGACAAAATCATTCAAAATTCACTGAGTGAATCAAATCATTTTCCACCTCAAGGCAATTCTCAACAATGTTTTAAACATACATTGCATAGCCCTCATTATTTTTCTTACCTAAAGCACTGTTTCCATCTTGATGAACTCTTGAGACTACATGACACGTTAGTCGCTGAATTAGAAGGAGAATACAGAGAAGACCGGGAGGTATTTTATCTCAGCCTAGGTGGTACTGGAATTGATGGGGTATGGTTGGAAGAGGTGAAACAAACCAAGACTCAAGATGCACTGCACTAATAGATTGGTGTATTCACCTGAAACCTCTTTGTACAACTACTTAGAGATAATTATTTCTAAAACAAGAACGTTTTGGAAAACAGGACTATGGGTACTTATAAAACAACACACACACACACCCCAATATGAATTAAACACCATGTCAAATCATTCCATTTGTCTTAATTGATCAACTAAGTCACCATTTTTGAGGCCCGTTTGAAAGCATGACAGAAAACACTAACTTGGGGAGAGACGGTACCACTGTCCTCACGGCAACTGATGAGATTCATCAAACATTAGCATCCTTTGAAGAAGAACAAGTTCTGTGACACACAGTAGGCCCTCCTTCCTCTCAGCTACGGGTCACCTTGGGCAGCGTCTAAAGAGCAAAGCCCAGGCTCTGGAGGAGGAGGATTTCCTGTTCCGGGGCAAAGGTCCAGCTCCAGAACTGGTGCCTCGGGATGGCTTTGCGCACTTCCTCCAAGAGACAGGGGGAATGTCACCTTCCGCCGGGGCCACTGTGTCGTAGGAATGGGCTCAGCACAGTGAGTTAGCGGCGCCTGGCGCACAGCACACAGGGGCTCTCGCCTTGGCTCATCTAAAGCACTTCTTCCCTCGCGGTCAGCATAGAGATGAGGGTGCCCACAACTGTTCCACAAAGGGAGGATCTGACAACCACACACGGATGGGCAAGCCGCATCTCACGCTGAGATTAAAGGCAGCGCTCGGCTGCCCGGCTGCCCGCAATAAGCACAGTCACCTCCATGAATCTCAACTCGCTTCTGAAATCCAAAGACCCCTTTCTGAAGTCCAGGGCAGCTTACCTGTGTGTCTGTCCTTCAGGGCGGTCTTGCACATTTCGATCCGGGCTGAGTGGAAGGGCACGTAACGATCTTGAGGAGAAGCCACCAGAACGACGTTTTTAAAATACTGCAGGCCTGTGAGAAGCCGGGAGAGTATGCTTTTGACCTGGGTAATCCAGTCGGTGGACATGCTCCCCCCCTCCCCCCTGGGTTTGCACACAGTTTGTGGAACACACCCTCGGGAAGTTCCGAGGGGAGGAGACAGCAGCCACGCAGCCAGTGTGTCAGGCTGCTGACCGAGCTCAGGAGCGGGGCATTTGGGAAACTGAGGGAAGAAGCATGCAGAAGCGTGGGCCTTGAGTACTTTGCTGGGAAAGAGAACTCTGTTCTTGTCAGCCATGGGCACCAAGGAGACCCACAACAAGCTACTCAGAACAGTGTGTGTGGGGTGGGGAATGTATGCAACTAATAATACAAGTTCAAGATCACTTTGGTGGGCTGGGAAAATTAAGATGTCTGTGAGGACGGAAATTAGAGATTTCTAGGCTTCCTTCTTCCTCTTCCCCACCATTCCTTTACTTCCAGCCCCACTGCATCAGCCTGGATGTCCCCTCCCTGCATCCAGCCTCATCTTCCTGCATCTGCTCCCAACACAGAGACCGAGGGATCTTCCACACTGGACACGGTAGTGCCGCCTCAGAGCTCATCATCATGTAGCTCCAGGGAAACAGAGGGAAAGCTCCATCAACCTAGGGACCACCCTCCTCCTCCTCCCCCTTCCCCAGCACTGCTGGGCACAAGAGCAACCTACAGCTCTCAGACATCCAAGACTAAGTCTGTCTGCATCGCCGTCTGTCCGCTCTGGGGGAAAGTGGAATAAGGTGACAACCTTATAAGACCGGCCCAGCTTCTGAGCTCCCTATGACTGGAGGCAGCTAGGACCTCTGCGGTAAACACACCACAGTCCAACTTCCCCCTTCTGCCCAACCCTGCCATCTTCTTCTTCTCCAAGTGTCCACCTTTATATCCAAAGGCACAGAATAGGAAAGGAACAGCCAGAGGTGCTCTGCCAGGTTCACATTCTTGTGGGAGCAAGGGTATCAGGCAGTGCTCACAGAAGAATGGGACTTTGTGTACCCACAGACCAGGGAAAGGCCAGCAGCGCTGAATCGGTCATCAGCCAGTGGCTCTGCTCCCTCCCTGGACACAGAGAGCACTGAGCAACGGTCACTGCTATCTCTGCAGCCACATCCAGAATACAGGCAGGCCCCCCCACCCCCACCCCCATGCCCAAGGCCATTCTTCCTTCCTCCCCACAGCCCAGTGGGCCTCTGTGACATGTCTCATGTATTCTTTGGGTAGCTCACCTTCCACCTGGGTGAGGGTGCATGGGTAGAACACTCAAAGGCTGACGGGAAGTAGGAGCTGCCACTCCTGAGTATCCTGATGATGCCAACTTACCTTGGCTCTCATTGCTCTCAGGACACACTGGAGACGCGTGCGGGCTCCAGTAGAAGCAGCTCAGCTTGCTGAAGGCCCTCTGAGAGGACTGACATGGTAACAAAGCTAATCTGCGTCCCAGGAGTCAGATCTCATAAGCATGGCCGCAGAAGGCTGCACCCACCTGTTTTCTGGCTTAGCTGGTAGAGGAAACACTTGCGCAAGTCGGCATGATCCCTGAAGGTCAGCTGCAGAAGGGACCCGGACTTCTTCAGTTTCTGCATGAGCCACAAGCCTAGCAAGACAAAGATAAATAAGTCGGGCACAGGTGGCTCACGCCTATAATCCTAGCTACTTAGGAGGCTGAAATCCGAGGATCTCAGTTCAAAGCCAGCCTGAGCAGGAAACCCCGTGAGACTCTTATCTCTGATAAACCATTCAGAAAACCGGAAGTGATGCTGTGGCACAAGTGGTAGACCACTCGCCTTGAGCTGAAGAGCTGATAGACAGCACCCAGCCCAGAGCTTAAGCCCCATAACCAATGAAAGAAAGAAAGAGAGACTCAGAGAGAGAGAGAGAGAACTGAGACAAAGCAGAGCAATGTGAGAGCACTGCTCTAAACTTCCAAATAAGAGAGAGGGCGGCATTCTGGCAACTCTCTGGAAAGTCAGAGGTTAATTTCTCCCTGGTGATAACACTGTGATGGCTGTGATGGCAAGGCAGCAGGCAGCAGAAGGGGAATCTGTCAATATTCTCCGAACGAACGCCATCCGCGTCTGCAAAGTAGGCTGCAGGAAGAGTCTCCAAGGTGAAAAATTCAGAGGAATGTTCCTCACACATCACCTGCCGCTTGGTGCCCGCACGCTCTTCTCTGCACTCACATGCCACTTACTCTGCTCAGAAAACCCTTCCCACTGCCAGCAGCCGGCCTTGGAAGCGCTGCTGCTCTTCCCAGGTGCACTGGACCTGGCCTTGCTACTGTCCCCACCCCACCCCACCCCACCTCCAGCCTCCTCCCTCCCCAGAACAGTCCAACTCTTCCAGCCAGAAAGCAGCGCAGAATCAACTCTATTTAACTTTTCAGATTGACTGATTTCCTTTTTCCTTTGCCCACTTAATTGTCACTGATTCTATGATGGAAAGACTCCCTCCTATATACACACTCATATGCACACATAATATGCACACATTATATATGTGCAGCATCGTTATATATAGCTAGGCAGGTGTGTGTGTGTGTGTGAGAGAGAGAGAGAGAGAGAGGGAGAATAAATCAACCCTCTGTATCTGTGGGTCCCCTCTCTGAAGACTTAATCAACCAAGAATCAAACACATTTTCAAATCACTGTGTCTGTGAAGAACATATACAGTTGTTATTTCTTCACATTATTTTCTAAACAACAGATGATAGCAATTATTCTCATGGTGTTTGCATCGTATTAGATATTATAAGCAGTCTAAAAGATGATTTGAAGCGTACCGATTGCATTTGTAGGTTATATACAAGCACGGTGCCCTTTTGTTTAACAGACAGATGAATCCTCAGCTTGAGGTCTCAGAAGGGGGTTCTGAAACCAACCTATGCTCCAAAGAGACTGGGAGGGGGGTGGTCTGCGTGGTAAAACATATAGTGTTCCATAAACATGCCCACATGTAGACACAAACACCTAATACATAGGCCAATTCTTGTGATGACTTTGGGGGCTTCTTCTTTGAAGAGTTTACCCAACGACAGGGCCGCATCTCTAATCCCAGCTGAGAAGAGGCTCCAAAGCTGCAGGCTTCCATCCGGAGCCTTGGCCTCCAGTCTCAAATTCTTGGTGCCCTAGGTCCCGGCAGAGGGCTGCTGCACCTGGAGACATCTTACCTGTGCTGACCAGGGTGCTGTTGTTGTACAGCGTCCCCAGGTGGGGCCCAGACAGCGAAAGGAAGGTGTGGAGCTTGTTGAGGTAATACCGGAACCGGGGCCGGGTGAGGACCGAGCGGATGATGATGTTGCCCAGAGAATGGCCGATGAAGCTGGTCAAGGACAGAGAGGATGCCCGTGAGTGGACCAGTGTGGGTCAGCCGCTGCCGGGAGGGCCCACAGCCGTGCCCTCAGCTCCCAGGGCCTCCGCGCCCTGCATCTCCCTGGACCGCAGGGGCACAGGATCCTGCCAGCTCCCCCTTCCCAGAGTTTTCTAGACTCTGTTGTGAACAGCAGCTCTGTGCCATGTGGTCGGGGAGACGTATGGCCACCGTGCCACCTCCTCTCTCACTCTACCTGGGAGAAGGAGGGTGACATTTCTGACACCCACCCCTGAGCTGCCCCTCCCTCCACCCCCCCCCATTCTTGGACAGGATAAAATTGGAATCCTGTAAGTTTGGTCCACGAGGGCACTCAGAACCTGACCTTGGAATCCCACTCCACGTTTGCTCCTTTCCTCACCACCCTCCCTCCTCGACTGAGCGGCCTCTTCTCTGTTCGTCCTCCGTGGTCTGCCCAGCTGTCCTGCTACTCACTTATCCATGGATCCAATATAGCTTACTTTGCAAGTAAATACTTACCGAAACCCTATAGCACGAGCCGTGTACTGCTCTCTCATGATACACATCACACCCACCCAGAACGGAAATGCTACAAAACTGCATTGCCTTACTCCCGTAGACCTCATTTGTGGAAAAAAGCAGTTATATGCTGTCTCTGAGGTCTACACAGGATGACTTCATTGAGAACTTAACTCTATGTCAACATCACATTTGTATGTTTAATAAAAATAGAAGCTACTTCCCTTCATGTTAGTCATTTTAGCACAAGTTACTTATTACTGGACAAAAACAAAATTAGCTCTAATGGAAGCCCTCTCCTTGGGTAGGAAGTTCACTCAACTCACAGTTGCATCTTCTCAGTGCTAGTCTATTTAACAGACTAGAAAGCAGTTTGATAGATTTTAAAAGTTTGCAAAAGTAAATTCATGAGTCTTAGAGTAGGAATTCAAACCTAGTGATATTTATAAGTTTAGTACAAAATGGTTATTCACACCCAAGTATGACAGACATGTTAAACACGCCTGATACTCCTGCCTAAAAGCAATGGACTTCATTAAAATCACAGATTACCAACATGGTTCACAGAGGCATCATAACAAACTGGCACTGCAAACACTCAAGAGAAAACCACCCGTGTTCCCCACATCATTAACTACCTGTGGTTTCCTTTTACCTAATTCGGGATATGGAGAGATTGTACAACTGAATGTGTTGGATGATTTCATCTAACAATCGATCCGTCATGGTATCAAAGTCTGCAAATGTGTCCATCTGGAAAAAAAGAAAGGGAAGGAGCCAAGGTCAGGCTCTGAGCAGAAGCCATCTTCCATTAAATCGCGTGGTGCATTCTGGGAGCATGCCCAGGCTTGGGGTCACACAGTTGGGATCTGACTACAGATCCCAGGAGGAAGTCTTCAGGCAGCTCTTCCCACTTCACAGACTTGGAAACAGACTCTCATTTCCTCGTGTTCTGCCTGAGCCAGCTTTCACAGTGTGCAGACACGGCATTCCGCTAGCTCTGTGAATCTTCTAGATATCATGAGATGGGCCACGGTTCCCTCTTAATGCATCTGTGCCTAGGATCTAAGGCTTCCCTAAGGGAAACCTACATCATCCCCTGAGCTCTTAAAGGTAGAGAGTGTGGCCCATCCCTCCCCATCAGGTGAAGGATTGATTAAGATATGGATAATATCCCCAAGACTGTTGTTGGTATTATCATGGCCATGCAGTCTTTCAGAGCCTGTCACTTCATCTGTAAATGACTGATTGAACACACTCGTCTGCAAAACAGTCAGAAGGACGAGGCTTGATTTCAAATCAGAGTTGGGACCTCACCAAGCAGAGTACTTTTTTTTAAAGAGATTTCTTGCCATTGGATCTCCTTATGGGCTTTTCACAGTTAAAGAAATCGTGGCAAGCTATTGTGGAATGTCATTAGCACGGAGTGAATAAACACTGCGGTAAAGTGACTCCCAGAGACCCAGAGGCAAGGCTCCCGTGGAATCCAGGTTGAATCATAGAACAGGCTGCATCAAAAAGTGAATGGGAAGAGGTGCAGAGAAGACAGGATCTCTGCCAGACCTTATTTGATAGCCATGCTCAGGTTCCTGAAAAGAAAACTTCAACCAGATCAAGTCAAAGACACAGGGAGGATTAATCGCTCACATCCCTGCTCCTTCCCTCCAGAGCTCTGGGAAACAGTTCTCATCATTCTTGGCCACATATCAAAATCTAGAGCACAGTATCTCTGCAATCTCACATGGAATGCCCACATCCAGGCCAGATTAGGTGCAACCGGGTTCACCCCAGAGCCTCCGCTCCCTCCTCTGTAAGAGTTGGCCGTGTCAATGGTTACGAAGTCAGAATGAGAGATCAATCAGAGCACCCTGCACATCGCTGTTCTCAGATAACGATCTCCCCATTCTGCCTCTACTACTCCTCTTTGCTACGGATGTTATGTGGCCTTGAACACAGGAGGTACCAGAGACAAGCTAACAGAACTAAGCACCAACAGGTCACAAATGTGACAGAACTTTCCCTGTGCTTGCTGGCAGATGGCTCTCTGTGCAACTACCACTTTCGATGGTCCTAGGATTGTTGACTTAAAAAGCAATTCTATTCCTCAGTGCATACTCGGGTTTCTTCCACCTCAAGTGTCAGTTTGCTGGGCTGCATCCTGCCAGCCTCAGTCTTGCTTCTGGATTCACCTCGGTGTCTTTGATGTCGACACCTCCTTAGGAGCCCTGTGGTTCCGTCTTCCACTTCTACCTGCTCAGCAGCCCTAACCTGGCTCTTTCTGTTACACAGATGAGGCTGTATCCTGTCCCCAGATGCCCAAACAGTTGCTGCACCCCGCGGCCGCTCTCCCTAACACAGCCCTCCGAAAGGAGCCGACGCACACACCGACATCAACACCTATGTTATCATTACAGTCAGCAGTCACCTCCGGAAGGAAACAAGGCCCACGTGTGGCCCCGTCTGCGTGCGCCAGGGCCCCTTCAGTCATACCTGATTCTTTTCCGACATCAGGAAGTCCAGCTTCCCCCCAGGAAGCCCCAGCTCTATGAAGGTCTTCACCAGCCGGAGATCTGCACTGTTTCCTGAAAACCAAAGAGAAGCCCCACCCCATCCTGAATCAGAGAAGAGGTGACCCCAGCCACTTTCTCCTCCCCGCCTTCCCCTCTCCCCAACCGTATGGCTCCCAATGCTTTTAAGCAAATAAAACAAGTCGAGCCTCCGCTGCCCTGCGGTTGCTCAGATGCTCAGAGGCCGGTCCTGCCTAGCATTCCACGCAGAAGCCTGGCCCGGTCCACTTACCCGTGGCTGGTGAACCGCTGGCGGCAGGCCGGCCTCCACCCTCCTGTTTTCCCAGGACATTCTGTCTGATATGGCATGTGACACCAACAAGCCTCCTCTTAAGTTGCTTGTTTCACACAGGGACTAGGCAGTGGTGCCACTTTCAGGTAATTAGCCAGAGCTCTGGATGAACCCATCACAGAGTATCGGTGCAGTGAGAACCTATCTAGATAAAGGATCTCCACCCAGCAGGGGGTCATGGAAAACCACCTTGACGGGTGTTGGTGGCACATACCTGTAATTCTGGCTAGGGGGAAAGTACAGGTAAGAATTCTAGCCCAAGGCCTGCCCTGGGGTTCGGGAGGTGGGGGAAAGAGGGGCATGTGAGCCCTATCTGAAAACCAACTAAAGCCTGAAGTGGCAGAGTGCCCACCTAGCAAGCCTAAGGTCCTGAGCTTCAAATCCCAGAACTCCAAAAAAACAATAAAAAATAAATTAAAAAAATAAAGCTCCTGACGAATCGGAGCAGAGGAATGAAAAGTTATTCCTTCCAGGCTGCTTCTAATACCATAAGTATGAATAAGACAATGAATAGATTCCTGAGCTGCTGCTACTGCTGCTGCTGTTGCTGCTGCTGCTGCTGATGATGACAATGATGATAATGGGGAAAATAGATTTGGTACAACAAAATCATTCTTCTTTCTGTGTGTGTGCCGTTCCTGGGGCTTGAACTCAGGGCCTGCATGCTGTCTCTGAACTGTTTTACTCAAGGTTAGTGCTCAACCACATGAGCCACAGATCCACTTCTAGAAGTTTGGTGTTTAATTGGAGATAAGAGTCTTGTGGACTTTCCTGCCAAAGCTGGCTTCAAACCATCTTCAGATCTCAGCCTCCTGAGCAGTTAAGATTAGAAGTGCAGCCACTGGTGCCCTGCCAATAGCTTTTTGAGCTTAAAATGCAGACAGGTCTTGGGGTCTAGTTGTACCTACGTGAATTTTTTGGCCTATTTTTTCAACTGAATCCTGGTGGAGCTGAAAGTTAGAAGCTATTTGTTAAGATGTTTAAAGTCACCTACTTTACTGTGTGAGTGAAACCCACAGGGGCCAAAGAGTTCTTACAGTCGAAGTGAAGTGACAGTTCATTTTTTTTTTACATTTTTTATTATTATATCTTTAAGTAGTTATAGGAAGAAGTTCCCATTCTACAAAACAGTATATGAGCACAAGGTGTCTGGCAACATGAGCCAATGATTCAAAACACTGTGGAGGAGCCACCAGGAATCTGGGAGTGTCCCTGATCGTTAGGGATAACCCCTGTGATCACATGCCACCTGCCCAGGGGGCCTATCACAAACCAGTGGGCAGCTCATCTCTCTGGTATAAAACCAGACCTGTAAGCTGCCCCTCTCATTGTAACTGTCAGCCTTCACGTGCATCGTGAAGAAAGGTAAATGCCTATTTGATTTTCCTGATCAGATTTCTCCCTTTGACAACAAGGTTGAGGTCTTTGTCCCTGCAAGCCTGGGAACTAGCAGCATCTGGGATATAAAAGGTGCTCCAAATGAGAGAAGACTAAAGCAGGTAGCAAAGCGGTGTCTTCCGCTAACCCGAGCACCTTAAAACAAGTCCATGTGCTCTCTACTCTAGCTTTATTCACACCATTCTATTGACCCATGGACTCTATGATTCTAATAACTCATACATTTCATCCTAGCTATATATACACTTCATTCATTCACTCCATTCCTTCTTTTATTCTGAACATTCAATTAGTTATTCCACTTCCTCATTCTACTGATTCATTGAATTTCCACATTACATTATATTCATTCATGTATCTCAACTACCCAAGAGATATTTTGTGTTACAGAGAATTTGTTTTTCTTCACTTGGGACAAAACTATGCCATCTTCCTAGGTTTCCATAGCAATGTATTCTATATTGGCTATCTAACCATATTTTTAAATAAATAAAATTTTTTTTGGTCGTGGGGCTTGAACTCTAGGCTTGGGCGCTGTCCCTCAGCTCTTCAGCTCAAGGTGAGGGCTCTACCACTTCCAGTTTTCTAGGTTTATTGAAGATAAGAGTCTCATGGACTTTTCTGCCCCAGCTTTGAACTGTGAGCCTCAGATCTCAGCCTCCTGAGTAGCTAAGGTTACAGGCATGAGCCATAAAACTTAAAAAAATTAAGAAGTAAAATTAATTTAAAATAAAATTAATTCATAAACAGTATGACTTGTAGATGGTATGAAAATTCCAAGAGGGAACTAATTGGGACTCACCATCTAAGCCGTGGACACAGACAACTAGATGAATGCCATCCTCCAAGTTTTCTTCCTCTTCCTCTGGTGGGAAATACGGGATGTCAGAAGCTAGCACAGTTAAGTCACTGTAGAGAAATCCTTCAATCTTCAGTTCTTTTTTAAATTTTTCTTTGGCCTGATAGAAACTGGAGAATACACTAATTAATCACAAGCCAAGAGGCACAGTTCATGTGGGGCAGGAAATGACTTGGGCTGGTGTGCAGGAATGATGCATATCCACAAGCTTGGTGACAAATGCCAACCATGAGACCCTGTGAGATGCTGGTTCAATCTGAGCAAGAAGGCAGGTGAACATCCCAAGAAAAGCACAGGGATTTGGTTCTGCAAATCGAATAGGGCAGGGCAGGGCTGGGTAATAATCCCAGCCCCAGGGATCCAAGCGAGTCCCTGAAGTGATCTCCTACAGGAGACTTTCCTTCTCCTGACCCACGAGCCTGCTGTGGCTCTGCCTACTTCAGCTGCCCAGCATCGCCTCTCCTAGTCTCATAGCCTGGGCTTGAACATGCAGTTCTGGATGACTGATTTCTTCTCCACCTGACCACAATGCACCTGGCCTGGTCACTGTGAAGATGGCGGCGATGCGCACAGACTCGGGAATCCACATCTCCTCTGACTCAGGTCAGAATCCTGGCACTGGCACCTGCCATTTCCTACGAGTTGAATGCCTCACATGAGAAGTGTTTAGGAATAGAAGAGTTTTGGATTTCACGTTCTTTTGTTTTTGTTTTTTTTCCCTCCAGATTGAAGTGTGTACATAGATATAATGAGGTAGTATCCTGGGAGCAAGACTCAAGTCTAAAAATGAAATCAAGCTTTTGTTTTCTATATGCCTGCTACATACAGTCTACAGGTAGTTTTATGTAGTAGTTTAAATATTGATTTTTCATGGTATAAAATTTTACATGCCTGGTATTTTGGAACTCCAAGGGTTGTGGATTTCAAGAATACAGGCTTTGGGACAGGTCGGTGGTACTGTGCTCTTGCAGCATGAGTAAAGTCTTCTTGGGGTGGATCTCCAGCACACATTAATTAATTAGTAAGGTTTAGATATGTGAGTGTGTCAGATTTTGGAATTTTACATTAAGGATATTACTATTATTAGCTGTATCGTCATCACGACCATCATTATGATCACTGCTATCATCACCATCTCTACAACCACCCACCACCACCACCACCACCACCATCATCACTACTGATGTTTTCCTCGTTCAGAGTGTCCTCTTCTCTAAGAAGCTAATCTAGCCAGGTTCCTCCTACATTCCTTTTACCTTTCAGCTCCACAAAGTGCATGAGAACCACCAGCCACATGTACCCAGTCAGCATCCTCGCTCCCTGCCTACAACAATCTGACTCTCAGACTGTCACCTCCTCAACAGGCAGCACAAACTTAGCCAGGCATTGAACAGCATCTAATTGTACTTGTTCAAGTGATGACAAGAGTCACAGGTGACTCTTTCAGTAAGGGAAAAGTCCTAAGTATCGAGCTGTTATTATTTTGGATGGTAGGATATGAGCTTAAGATATTCTGATGAAATGATGCTATTATAAACTCAGTCAAATGTATCATTTGTAAGTTTGAGAGAAATGTGAATACAAATCCAAAGGGGGGAGTATGGGGAAGAAACGCAGCAGAAGGACCAGTGAACTTGATAAATCAACGATATTAAAGAGGGCTCAGGAAGCAATTCCAATGAGAAGCAAATCCTACCACAAAGTCTTCTTTAAAAAACAAAAACAAAAAAAAAACCTTCTCAAAATGTGCAAAGAACAACTCAAAATGCTCACGTATGTCACAATTTAAATGGAGCAAAATTTAAATGTCCATCTTTTCCTGATGTAAATAATAAATTCTGGTACAGCCACACAGCGGAAGGCTATGCAAATATTAAAACAGATCAATCAACTTTGGAAGGTATTTCTAAAATATTAATAAGTTTGGGATGGGGGTGGGGTAAACTTATTTAGGCGCTGTGGGAATAATCCTGGTTGGTTTGGTTTTTTGTGAACATCAAACACATACATGGGAGAATCTTGATATATTAAATTTCTAGGCAGCAAATTGTGGAAGAGCATCCAAGTATGCTATCATGAGCTTGGCTTCTTGATCCTTATTATCACCGCTTAGACTCACTATTCGGCACCTCAGCACTATTCAGCACCTCAGCACTATTTAGCACTTTGACACTTCGGCACTTGGCTCACTTAGGTGAGCACTCACAGCTCCTCCCTGCTTCACTAGCACGCGGGGAACTGAGCATCTTCGGAGGGGGAGGCGCGCACCGCCGGCTTACCTGGACATTCTCTCGCTGACGTCCTCCTCCAGCTGGCCGGAGTGGGTAGACATGGCCCCAAAGGAGCCCAGAGGCTGGTGGGTGATGGGGGCCGGGGTGTGTTTGGAGGCGAAGCCGGCCCTGGCTGGGGTCTCCTTGGGCACAGAAGAGAAGGGGAGGCAGGTGGCCGTGCAGGACACGGACAGGTTGACCACCTCCACGGTCTTCAGGCTGTCCAGGGCGAAGGTCTCGGCCGGGCTCAGGTGGGCTCCCAGTGTGGCGGGGCCGGCCTTCAGCTCCTGGTGTCTCCAGCCCTGGGGGGGCGCGGCGTGGGGCACGGCGGGGCGCGGGGCGAGCGCCTCGGGTTCCTCCTCCGTGTCCTGGGCGGAGCGTGGGGAGCTGCGGGGCGTGTCCGGGGAGTGCCCCGTGGACCTGTCCTGCGGGCCTTCCACGAGCGCTCCAGGGCGCGACGTGGTCCCAGGAGGCTGGCGCGGTGGTGATGGTGGTGGCTTCAGGTGGGGACCTTTGGTTTCCACGCCCATGGCGATGTTCTCAGTCCTGCCATCGGGGCCTTCACGATCGAGGGGACCCCTGGCCCCCGTAGGGAGGTCCAGGTATCCGGGGCCCGGCGGCCTGTCCACGTCCGTGACTGTGCCAGAGAGCTCGTGGCCGGCTGCGCCGTCGTGGGTTCCGAAGCCCACGCAGGATGGAGAGCTGTGTCCCGGGGAACCGGGGCTGTGGCCGTGGCCGTGCGTCTCCACGTCTCCAGCAAAGCCTCCAAGGCACTGGGCGTCCTCGGGGCTGCTGATGTGGGGCGCGGACGCCGACTTGGTGAGCCTGGTGTGCGCTGGCTCGCGCGCCTCGTCCTCGAAGGGCAGGGAGCTGATGGAGGTGAGCGAAGCCTGGGTGCCGCTGGGCAGGCTGCCGTGGCTGCCCGCGTGGCTGCCTGCGTGGCTGCCAGCGTGGCTGTCAGCGTGGCCCCCTTCCAGCGAGTTCCTGTGCCGTGCGTGCCTGCGCGCCGCCGGCTGCGCGCCGTCCCGGTCCCCGGGCGGCTCCAAGGCCCGGCTGCGCGCCTCCGACCAGGCCACGGAGCTCGGCTCGCTCTCGATGCCCGAGTCGGAGATGAGGGACGAAGACCGCTGGATGGCCCCGGATGGCCCCGACAGCTCCTCCGTGCTGGGCTTCTTCCCCGGCTCCCCGCGGGGATCGGCTGGGGTGAGCGGCAGGCTCAGCAGCCCCTGCTGGGCCTCGGGCTCCGCTTCGGAGATGGCCAGTCTTTGGTGACCTCCACCGGCTCCCACTTGGCCCAGCACAGTCCTGTGGGGACCGGAGTGGTCTCTGCAGCCCCGGCTTTCATAGGGGGCGCCAGGGAGCGGCTTGGGGTCTCCTGGATGGTGGGTTTTATTGCTGGATTTCACATCAATGTAGGTCAGGGCCGGGCCCCGTCCGTCCTCTGGGCCGGTGCTGCTCCTCCGCGGCGAGTCCACCACGGCCAGGGCGTAGGTCTTCACCGCAGGCCTCTGGCCAGCCCAGCCCTCGTCCTTGGCCACGCCTGCTTTGTTCTGGAACTCGCCTATGGTCAGGTACACCTGAGACTCGGAGCACACGTCCACGTGGTGCGCCGTGGGCGCGCTCCCACCCGGCCGCGGGCCTCCCACGCTCTCCCTGTCAGAGCTCCTCTGGGGCGCTTTCACAGAGGACAGGACAAAGTCTTGCGCGAAAGGTGACTTGGGGGTGGCAATGTGGTTCTCTTCTTTTCCTTTCAGATCCATGATTGCCGGGCTTGTCACTGGGACGTCGAAATTAGGGTAAAGACTCAAATTATGCCCTGCAGAAAAAGAAAAGATAGAAAACGGTGGGATAGTTCACAAATTGGGGTCCTCACAGTACGCGAATGTCTGCGTGTGTTGAACGCAGAAGATTCTGAGAGTGCTCTGTGCCTGCTTCGTGAGGAAATTCTCTTCGGAGTTTTCAGATTTCCCAACTGACAGAAGTGTCTTTTTGTTGTTGTTCTCTGGGCTCTATCTTGTTTATGCTAACCAGGTGACTCATGTCGAAACCCTAAATAGTTTATCCTGATGAGATACACTGGACAGGGGTGGACAGAGCTGGAGACAAAGTCATATTTGTCCACCATCTGGGAAAAGACTGAATTCAATCTCAAGTTCAGCGGACTTGCTCTAACTGACAGCATGAGCCCTGTCCCAGGACTGACACACTGAGAATACAACTTCTGATCTAGAACCTCACAGACCTCATCTTCTCAAACCTAACAGCTGGACGCATGGAAGGCTTCAGAACCTCCGAGATTGCATCTAGTGTCTAAAATGAAGCCAATCTTATGAGGAACTGTGCTCCTAAATGTGAAGTCTGACCTAAATCACCACAGTTAGTGTCTGATTTGCATCGTGCTAAGGAAAAGCTCTCTGATCTTATCATTATTACTTACTTTATACTTACCAAAGGTAGCTTAGTAACCACCACTTGTAAATACTCTTTCTCTATCTCTTCACACACAGTATTGTCAAGTAAAAAGATCTCTCCGCAGCCAGGAAGGCCTGACTGGCAACCTAGCTTGACATTGCTACTTCACAACTCTGAAACTGTGGACATGGGCAGAATGGTGGGACGGAAATGTACTTTTCCTCTCCTCCCTCCCTCCCTCCCTCCCTCCCTCCCTCCCTCCCTCCCTCCCTCCCTCCCTCTCTCTCTCTCTCTCTCTCTCTCTCTCTCTCTCTCTCTCTCTCAAACAGAATATGTGTTTAATCATGTGATTAAGTTCAACAAACCTTACTGCTGATAAAAATATTAGACACATGCTGCCTCAGAATGATAGCCAAATAAACTTTCTCTTCATTCCTGGGACAGGTACTTGACCTTGTTCAGGCAGTTAGGGATAGACAACAAGGTGGGAAATAAAGAGTATAAATCACCTTTCTTGAAATAAAGAGTATAAATCACCTTTCTTGTTCCCTCCACGGTTCAGGGAACTCCAGTTCCAGCGCATACATGCCTAGACCAGAGGCAAAATCAGAAGGCAAGCCCTGATTTTTTTGTCCTTTTGTTCCAGGATAGGTAAAACCCAAGCCAACAGGCATTCCATCTAGTAGGCAAAGCCTTTTTCCTAAGGGACTAGGAACTTAATACCTAGCTAACCAGACAGAAAAGCTTCTGATTCCCCCACCCCATCCCTACCCCCCACTCCTGATGATAGGGAATGGTTTCCTGCCCAGAAGGTCACCAGTTCCTCCATTCTACCTTTCCTCAAGAAACTTACTCAGTTTACCTTAAACACCTCTCTAGCTTACTGTTGTTCTTTAATGGCAGAAATAACAAGCCCCGCCCCTGGAAGGAATCAGCAGATCCTCAGCTGAGAACAGTCATAACTCACAGTCACGGCCACGGTAGGAAAGGTCTCCTATGGGGAAGGAGATTTCTGCTTTCTTCAGAAAACCACTCGTAACTATGATGGCTCTAACCAGGTTAATTATCCCATGTGCCACCAGGAAGCTTCTAGAATTATTTCTTTTCATAGGCAGATGGCAGGAAGTCAAAGCATTGAAAATTTTAAGGCAAAATATTCTCCCTTGTCTTCTCCCTTCCTCTCTCTGCTCTCTTTCTTCCTTATCTCTTTCTTCTCTTTTCCCTTCTCCTTCCTCTTCCTGCTTCTCTACTTCTTCCTCCTTCTGTTTTCCTCTTCCTCACACACTCTCTCTCTCTCTCTCTCTCTCTCTCTCTCTCTCTCTCTCTCTCTCAGACAAGCATAAATGCTTCCATGCCTGTCGTTAGCACGGTTCTGATCAGAGAACAATGTGATACATTGTTCATTTTCCATCTACACAAAACCAAAAAGGGAGACTATTTCCCCTGAAAGGTTTAAGTCTTCCAGATGGTTTTCATAGACGTGAAATGAGTATGATCTCTTCTGAGTGTTGTTATGGAGTAAACCACCATGACATGAGTTGGAAGCCACATGGGGTTTCCAGACAGGATCATCACTCACTCTGAGTGTCATTCATGACAAGGTCGAGGAATGACGTCTCCATCACATGGACGCAGTCTGAGCATCCAAAACACTGAGCACATTTCCCCTCCTCCGTGAGACCTTGCCTACGTCCACCACAAATCCCAGCGTGTTTTCTATACACGCGTGGTGCCACTCATCACCCAGGGGATGATCCGCTTCGTGCATCTCTTTTCCACTTGAGAGAGAAAAGCTTATGTTCTTTCGCTGTTGCCCTGGGGGGTAGGATCAAGTCTAGTGCATATTTGATAAGTTGTATTCATGAAATGAATTGAGAGTAGAACAGAGATGAAACAAAACAAAGGATAGTATGCTCTTTAGTTGTACTGGTTTCCAAAAACAAACAAAAGCCCTCAGTATCATTTAATCCCAGAATAGTACACTGACATTCCATGTGTGTAAAATTCCCTGACTTCGGCAGTGGACCAGGCTTAGGAATTGCCACCACTACTTCTAGAAAGCCGAAACTCTCATAATCAGGTTCCTCGGCAGGAGATCCCTGTGAAAATATTGTGTTTGATAAGTTGCTGCCAAGATTGTTTTTTGAACCCGATTTCCAGAGCATTTCTTACCTTAGTCAAATCAACACATCATTGCCACTATTCCTAAACACTGATCAAGATGCATTTTAGTCATAAATCGCTTTGCTGAACATCAACTTCTTTGTACAAACTACTTTTTAAAAAAAAAGAAAATAAAGAGAAAGTAACAATGAAAACACCAGTCATCCAACCAGTGGAAAAGAAATAGCCCTAAAATGAATATGGTCAGCATCCGGGGGTCACACTAGAAGGGAGACATTGTGGGCAGTGCTCCGAATTCTAGGGTGAGGATTCTGTGGGGCCATAGATAGAGCAAGAGTGAAGAGAGGAGGGAAGAGCAGGAGGTCAGGCAGAGGGAGGCCACAGTACATTAGCTATTCATAGATCAATAGGGGGTATGGTTAGCATGTTACAAGCACAGCTTATACATTCTTAGAACACGCAGCATTGTATTAGCCTGACCCTGGCCAACTAACACAGGCTGAATCAAGGACAACAAAGAAGCAATGCAGCAGCCATGAGTAAGGCTCAGAATTATAACCCTGAACCAGAGAGATGGGCGAGGGTCAGACGCAAGGAGGAGATAAAGCCAGGTATGTGTGTGCTGTTAGTGGGATTGAACTCCTTACACTGTGCTTGGCACTGCAGTTAATGTTTCAAGGGTAGACTTGTCCATTATTCACTGTGACCCGGATAGGTAGAAATTGCAACCCCTTGTGTCCAACTTCATATGCTGGCCATTGGGAAAACAACGCAATCGTGCTATCCATCCAGACCTCACAAACTGACACAAACCAAGCTCACTGGGAGCCTGGAACGGAGCTCGGGTTTATGGTACAAACCAGTGCACAAGTCATGGTGAATGGCTGATCACGGCCCCACATTGTGTTTTCAATATGGAAGTGGAACTCTTTTACTTCCCACTTTATGCCCTGAGTAAAGGATAGATGACAAATATTTTCGAAAATGCCATGGCAAGGTATTATATAAGTGCCCCCAAACTCACGAGGGAAAAAAAAAGTATATTGCTATACTTTTGAATCTGGGACTAACGTACTCTCAAAGTCATTTGTGACAGAAGGAGGAGATCAAAGCCAAGCATTACATTTGAGTGGCAATACGGACCTTGCTGTAAAGGTCATTTGGAGGATGGGAATAGATCAGGATGGTGTGTGTGTGGAGAAGCCCCAGGGAGACAGCCAGGCCTCAGAGTCACACAGCCCTGACCCTGAGGCTGGAGGCCCAGGCTCAGGCAGAGCAGAGGCTGCAAAAGAAGAGGTGCTGGCCCTAAACTATTCCATACATAGGGACAATAAATGGCTTAGAGAAACCTGCAAAGGCAGATGTCCACAGGAAGAACTCTGCTAGCCATGTATTGCTGAGTTGAAGCATCAAAGGCACTGACCTTCAAGGGAGAGGGAGAGGGAAGCAAGGGAGCAACCCCAGGAAGGCGGGGGTTGACTTTACCAGGGATGCCCAAAGGAAGGAGTCTCACAAGGAAAGCAAAGCTGACTTATAAGCAATGAAGATATGTAGTGTTCACATACTCCTGCGTTGCAGGGCTGAATTTTATATTCATAGACTGTCTGCTAATGCTTGGAAGGAAAAAAATGGGAGACAATCTACAAGAAGGCAAGATACTGGCAATATGAGAGAATCTAACCAAGGGTTTTTATCTCTTTTCTTCTCCAATGCTCCACATAGTCTATAAATGATTAACACCTATACATATATGTATGCATATGTATACCTAGATTATACACACTGATACACCGCCACATATGTTTACATGTATGTGAGTACCTGCACGCACACACCCCACCCTGTACACACACACACACACACACACACACACACACACACCGCCCTGTAGGAAACTGAACCCATCCTGTAGGAAACTGAATGTAGTAGCCTGGTAATCACTCTGGCTGTCATACACAGGATGACCACTAGATGTCAGGGCGCAGCTGAAAATCAAGTACACAGACACATTTTTGCACTGTCCTTGGAAAGTCACCTAGCTTCCGAAACAAGCTACAAGTCTCAGATGGTAGAATTTCACTTTGGTCCATCACTAAAAGGATAGGTACCTAGGCCTGTGGCTTAAAAGACCTCATAGGGCAGTCAGTTTTGATTGTTGGCTTATGACCACATCACTCATAAATGGTATTGATCAATATTCATTCTCTTTGTGCCTGTGTAGCTGAAATGGCTTGTGATGGTGTTTACAGGATTGGAGAGATAAAGCACACGGGCCTGTGACTTAAGGACCTGGAATTTTCTGGTCTTGGTTGGGTTCCTTTGTCAAGCAGCGGCAATAGACATGGAAGGGGGTATCCCTGCCTGTCCACCTAGGAGTTGGTGAGCGAAGTGTGACACCATCTGGAGACACGGATGCAAACAAAGCACAGAAACCCTTGCTCTTTCCTCATGGTAAGGAGCCTTCCATCCAGAGCCCAGTCACACCCTGCTTCCGAGAGCCTTTTCTTCTGGTTCACGACACAAAACAAGCACTTCACAGAGGGCTGAACCCAATGCTGCTACAGTTAAAGTGTGATGACTTCTTCTTCCTTTATTAGTGATACTGTGATTTAAACAGGGGACTTCGGGCTTACGGCATAGGTGCTTTACCACTTGAGCCACACCTCCAGCCCTCATGTGCTTCAGTTACTTTTCGGGTCTTGTGTCTTTTTGCCTGGGATGTACCCTCATACCAGGACCCTCCAAAGTATGGCCTCACATCTAGATGGGCTGGCAGACACAGACCATCACACCCGGTGCCTGATGATTGGTTGGAATGGGATCTTGCTAGTTTTTTTTTTTTTTTGCAAAGGTTGGCACCAAATCCCCTTCTTAGTAGCTGGAATTGCAGGTATGAGCCACTGCACCAGATTTCCAAAATGACTTCATAATTGAGATGCACAATAGAGACAAGATCTTCATCTACGCTTAATCAGTCCTGGTGTGTGTGTGTGTGTGTGTGTGTGTGTGTGTGTGTGTGTGCACGCGCACGCACGCGCACAAGGAGACAAGGAATTGTGATCCTAACAGGTACTAGGCATGATACCACCTAGAAGATGTCAAGGAAGAAGTCATTAATCAGTCTCTGGTTAAATGGTTGGGTTACCAGTACCAGTGAAATAAAAATCTTTCACAAAGTGGGTCAGCCTTAATTCTTGGGGCCGCACGGGCCTGACGGAGCCCTTCCTTCCTCATTCTCGCTGTGGTTGGTCGTAACACTGGCAGGAGCCACCTGCATAGCCTCTTTCTTCAGTCTTTGCAAAACAGCAAAGTGAGACCAACCTGTCACCGGGCAATCCACGTATCTGTCCTCGAAGATGACGGGCAGCGTGTTCCAGTCTCCGTCGATGTCCAGGCACTCTGCGGGCAGCGGGGGCATGCTGGTGAGGTACTCCGAGTTCCGGATGTCCAGGGAAAGCTGGCTGTGGGTCTGTATCCTGCGGAGAACACCAGAGGATGAGCGTCTAAGCAGGAGGAAGTACTCTACACGCGCCAGCCACCCTCTCACCCCATGAGTGTGTTCAGAAGAGTCCCATCAGCGTCTGGCAGTGACTCTGTCCATCCACCCACACCAACCTCTCAGCCACAAACAAACTCCAGGACAGGCTGCTTTGTGCGGGAACTGGTCCAGACACAGGCGTCAGCAGTTCTGGAGGTTAAGATTAGGCGAGATGCAGGTTGTCTGTCATGTACCATTTAGTGGAACGCAGTGTACGCCGTGCTGGAAGAATGCCAGCTGACCTTCTAAACAGCCAGGGATCTCACACACAATACACTGAAGGAATACTTTAAATCGGATTTTCGTCCACTCTTACTCCTCCACGTAGGGTCTGAGGCACGTTTTGGTATGATCATAGTGCTTTGAATGCATGCATAGAAATATCAGAAAAGAAGCTAATAAAAATCTAAAAGAAACTCCACCTAAACAGCGCCCCCTTCCGTCATGGGGCTTCAACTCAGGTCCCGGGCATTGTCCGTGAGCTTTCTGCTCAAGGCTAGCACTCTACTTTGAGTCACAGCTCCACTTCAAGTGTTCTGGTGGTTAATTGGAGTCTCGTGGACTCTTCTGCCTGGGCTGGCTTGGAACCATGATCCACAGATCTCAGCCTCCTGAGTAGCTAGAATGACAGGCGTGAGCCACCAGCACCCTGCTAAACAGCCTCTTTTTCTAATTGCCTTTTTTGTGGAATGTGGGAGCTTCAACCAGAGTTCCTGTAATTCAGGAAGCATATTTTTAATTGGCTTCTCTGTGTAGGATTTAAGAAATATCCATTATTTATTCTCTATGACCTGAACAATTTTCCATCAACAGGAATTCAGTTCTAGGCATTGGAATAATCACGATTTCTCATTCTCAGATGAGATGAGGATGGGTGGTGTTGGGAGAGGGGAGGGGAGAAACAAACGGAAGGGGAGACATAGATAAAGATGCATTGCTCACAGACCGACAAGCCGAACTGAAACCTCCTTGTACAACTAAAGATCATAAAAAATAAAATGAAGTTTTTCCTTTAAAGATGGGATAAATAATGGCCCTTTCCCTTAAATCTTTCCAAAGAGATTTTTTTTTGACCTTAGGAAGTGAAAGACATTAACATTCCATAATTTTTCTCCACAACAACTCAATCATTTCCCCCAAAGAAAGAAAAGCGTAATATAAGGTTGTGGATCTGGGAGAATTTTAGCATGCATGTCTGTCTGTCTGTCCATCAGTCTGTCTCTCTGTGTCTCACTGTGGAACAGCCTGAACTCTGGAAGTTCACAGCCATGGAACTCGACACAGGTCTGCCGCAACCTCTTTAACCAGTTTGCTCATCAACAGATGCCAGGAAGTGAGTCTAGACACATAAATGATCCTTAGTGTAACATTTCAAATAAAACCCATACTAAGTACGCCTATGAAATACACATCAATTTATATTAAATGTGGATGTTTTATTTCCTTCTTCCATTGCTATTGGATGGGTCTGCTACATCATCTTTGAACACTTGAGACTTTCATGTTTTCTGAGTATTTAAGTGGGATTTTGTGTCAATCAGCTCTGAACTTCATACTATGAAAGGAATCTGGACCGTCCAGTATGATTTGCAGTGCACTGAGTAACGTGTTGAATACGCATGGAGACACTTCGGACTGAGCTTGAATCTGGGTCTGCAACCCGAGAGTCACAAGAAAGGTGCTAGGCAAACAGGGCTTGCAGCAAGCGCAGGAGGGTCAGGTCTGAGCTGTGTGTGACCCAGGGTCCTTCTAAAACGCAGATTCTCAGGCACGGGGCCCATAACTAACACAATTGCTTAGCATGTGTTCTAACAGTGGCTAAAACGCTCGAGGCCCATGGAGTCCTTGCAAGTCTGGGACAGAGCTTAGGAGTTCAAGTCCCAGGAGTTCAAGAACTCAAGAGGTACACACACACACACACACACTCACACTCACACACACACACACACACACATACACGCACGCATGCACGCACGCACGCACATAGTATGGAAGTCCAATTCTCTTTTTCTGGAGGCAGGATGTTCATTTGTCTTTTTTCCTTGGCTATCAGAACCCTGAGTTCTCGAGATATTTTGGAACCTGGGGCTCACATCAGCACCCTCCTAGGCTCTCAGATCTTTGGCCTTGGAGTGAGAATTCCATCACCAGCTCCCTGATCCTGAAATCTTCAGACAGGCTGCGTCACACTTCCACAGCCCCTGGCTCTCCTGTCCTCCATCGCTGACTCCATTTCCCGAATAAACCCCTTCTCCTCCACATTGCCCTATGGTTCTTGTCTCTCTGGAGAACCCTAAGACGGAAGATTAGCAATTATCAGGTGATAATTAATGGAAGACAGTAGCAGAGGACTGTCCTGCGCACTCTGTGCAGCCAGGGCAAGGACATGAAGATACCCTTTCCATCCCTAATGAAAGCGCTCCTGTGGCCCTTCACGTTGCTTTGATTTTTTTACCCTGTCCATCACCTAATATATAATTTGTTGATTCTTCTTTATAGTGGTAGCTGTGTCATAAGGTAAATGTGACCATCAAATGAGCCAACTCTAGGTATAGAGCATCTTATAGAATCAATACATGTTTTAAAAAGTTAATGTTACAATCTGGGCACAGAAAACACGAGGGTCAAAGTAACAGGTCAATGCCCAGGTCACAGAAATGAAGGCTTCAGTATTCATCTCCGTGGGCTTCCTCATTTCCACATCCAGTCAACAAACATTCCTTCACAGTTACTTCGAGAGAAGCACCACCACACAAATGCCCCGGGAGACAGAGCGGAGGGATGACCACTCACAGCCGGCCGCTGACTCACGCCCAACACCTGGGAGGCAAGAAGCTGTCCGCCTTCCGTGACGAGCTGGCCGACACTCACACTCCCAGAGACACAGACACGGAATGACAGTCTCCGCAAATACTCCTCATTCCCACCTGCTCAGTCCTGTCCGGTCCTGTCCTGGCCCTCTCCACTTAACAAGTCCTGTCCCGAATCTACGAAGCTGAGTTCACAGGCCACTAAGCAGTGGTGACCTATTGTTGAAGTAATCCAAGCCAGAGTGGACTAGGTTTGAATCCCATCGCTGCCCTCTACCCTCATTCTCCAATCTCTAAAGTGACTCTATAAGAAAACATAATCTCCTAGGGCACAATCTTGTACCTGGCAAGGTCCCTACTCAAACAACTCCATGAAATTGTACTAGCTGTTCCTCTTATGTGTGTGTACAAACACACACACACACACACACACACACACACACACACACACACACGTGGGTGCATTTCTCCATAATATATCACAATTTGTCACTCATCTCTATTTATGCCTAAGCATTTCTACCACTAAAACAGAAACTCTGTTGTCTACATGGTTCACTGCTGAATAGCCTACACCTAAAACGAATGCAGCTCTAAGGAAATAATCACTGAAGGAAGGACTCTCCCTCCATTTCAATCTAGTATACCAAGTTCGGAGGGTCTCAGTCACCAACTTGATGTCACACGTTGGAGCATCCAGACTTCAATCCATGTATATGAGATTTGAAGTTAGGGTCCAAATTTCTCTTTGAAGGTTAAAACAGTATTAGCTATAATTACTGTAAGTCTACATTATTTCCCCGGTCCCTAAGGCCCTACCTGAGCCAATCTCTCCCTGCCATTGAGTGAGGACTTTGCTTCCTCTTCCAGTTTTTCCTGTGTATGTGGTGCAGAGGAATCAAACCCCGGGCTTCACACATGCTAGCCAAGCACTCTTACCACCGAGCCACCTTCCCAGCCCAGCCTTGGCTAGCTACCCACCCCTTCCTGCTGCTCCTTCGATTTCCCTCCTCACAACCACCACAGAAAGGTCCCCCATCCCACCCCACTGATGCCACAGCTCCAACCAACTCCCCCCCCCAAGGGGTACCTTCTATCCTGTGACCCGAGGCCACTGGTACCTTACCACAGTCCTGGCTTTGTGAGACAGTGCTCAAAACCCTTAAAGTTACAGTAATATTGGTGGGTCTAGCTCTTCTGATGTTAGACTTGTACAAAGTGTATTCAGGTGGTGCAACATGGCGGTTGGAAGAAATGAATGGGTAAAGGACAGACCCCAGCCACCTCTGCAGTCGCTAGCATAACAAGCAGACACATTTTCCTTGGTGCCCCCTTGCCTTCAGAACCCAACTGAAAATGCCAGCGGACTCTGCAGATAGAGCAAGCGCAGGGCAGAATGCAGGTGGGAATCCCACAGCTTGCTCCTCCCACTAGGGGACTTGAGGCCTCCCCTGGGCATACTATCCCCACCCTTGTATTCATTCAGAAAACCAAAAGAGACTTGTGGAACGCGAGACCAAAGTTCTCAGAAGAGTCTCTGCCCCTCCTCACCCAGGAACCTAGGAGGGAGGATGAGCTGCTGTCTATCCTCGGACTCCTCTTCCATCTTTCTTAGTCTTTTCTGGTAGAAGGCAAACTTAAACAGCCACCAATAAATCCTCTTCAATAGAGAGCTGCTCAGGCTTCATGATTATGCTAGCTGTGCTTGTGACACAGCTATGGGCAGCCTGGGTCTGTGGTTTGTTCTGACATGGCTTGTGTGATTTATTTTTCAGAGAGGTAGACGTGGATGTCGGCAGGGATGGAGCAAGTCTTGATGGTGTCCCTAGAGCCAGGATGACACTCAACAAAAGGAACTTTTGGCTGGTGACCCTCTCTGACCCCTGAAGCTCCCGCCTCTGCAGCCCAGGAACTGCAGAGGGGACTGGCAGAAGGGAGCGGATTTCTCTCCATCACAGCCAGGGATGGAGGAGAGAGGACCTGGGTGGGATGAAGGGAGGAGGACGGCGTGAGTGGACACTGGGGTCACTTACAGATTCTCCTGGAAGGTCAGGACTGCCAGCTTTTGGTGCTCCATATAAAAGAAGGCTTCAGAAAACCTCCGGACCTGAGAAGCCAGACAATACCAACAATGTAATTCTTTGGGTGGAGAAGACCTCTACTTTCTAAATTGAAAGGTTGAACAGGTACGTATTCAGTTGTGGTCGGAAGAAAGCTCGCACATGCCTGAAGATGTGAAGTGGTCGGTCTGTGCTGTCTGCCGCTGCCCTCACCCTGCCCAGCGCTCAGCTCACAGCGAGTTCATCAGTTCCATGCGTGTTGATGTATCTGTTCCTGCAAGGCTTCCTACCAGCTTTGTGCTTGTGTGTTAATCCCTCTGAGCATGGGACCTCTGAAAACAGTTCTTATAAAAATGGAGACTGCCAGGTGCAGGAGGCTCACACCTGTAATCCTAGCTACACAACAGGCTGAGGTCTGAGGATCACGGTTCAAAGCCAGCCCAGGCAGGAAAGTCCGTGAGACTCTTGTCTCCAATGAACCACCAGAAAACCGGAAGTGGCACTGTGGCTCAAGTGGTAGAGCTCTAGCCTTGAGTGAAAGAGCTCAGGGACAGCGCCTAGGCCCTGAGTTCAAGCCCCACAACCAAAATATGGAGAGAGACTAAGCAGGCTTTCCAGAGCCAGCCCTGCAGGTGTGTCCTCAGATTTCCACTCCTCTCGCTATAAACAAGAAGATCGGCTTTGTTCAATACCACCTACTCTTAGGTGCCAAACTTGTGGTAAAGAAACACACCAAGGAGGCTGGGCCACAGGACTCCCAGGGCTCATCCTAGCACGTGGGCTGCTGGAGCTGGGGATTCCCAGAGTGAGAGCAGACCAGACAGCAACAAGTCTACGAGACTCCATCACCAATGGCTGAGCAGAGCAGAGGGGAAAGGGCTGGATAGCCCAGCCCCACACAATGGCTGGGTGTGGGATGGGCATGCACTGTCAGCCCTAGCCCAGGCTGGCCAGGGCTTAAGGGGGACCCTACCTCAATATAACCATTTTTGAAATGGGCTAGAGGTGTGACTCAGGTGGTCAAGTGCCTACCTGGCAAACATGAGTCCCTGAGCTCAATCCCCAGTACAGCAGAGGGAGAAGGAGAGAAGGAAAGAGGGAGAAAGAGAGAAAGCCAGAGACAGAGAAAGAAACAGACAGACAAAGACAGAGAGAGAGAGAGAGAGAGAGAGAGAGAGAGAGAGAGAGAGAGAGAGAGAAAGGGAGGAAGGGAGGAAGGAAGGAAGGGAGGGAGAAGGAGAGAGAGAGGCTAAGACAAGTCCTTATATTTAAAAGTACTTTTCTACCATACAAGATGATGGTAAGTGAAATGAACCCCAAGATGTGGACACAAGAGGTTTTTCTTTGTTGTTGTTTTTTTAATGTACTATGTGATTTTTTTTGTTTCTTTTGTATGTTCTTCCCTCTGTGGTATGTCCCCTGTTGTCACTGTACTTGCTTTTGGTGCCCTGCATCTTGGATATACATTTGTCTAATTGGGGGAGGGGAAGAGGAATAACAAAATACTGAAACAAGGACACAGGATGACCCATTGCAACAAGGATACCCACAGGACACTATGTTAGAAATGAACTTTACAACTTGTGGGGGGAGGGGGAGGGATGGGGGAGGAGGGGGAGGGAAGGGATAAAGGAGGCGGTAACTATGCTCGATAGGAAATGTGCTCATTACCTTACTCATGTAACTGTAACTCTTCTGTACAGCATCTCTACAATAACATACAATTCCCAGATACTTTCTAAGGTACCAGTACCTCTAATGTCCTATGACAAGCTCTGTGCTGGTGGGACTCCGGGCAGCAGGTGTGGTGTGAATGGCAAGGCCTGGGTCTGGGGGCCATAAGTGGACTGTGTCCCCCTGCACGTCCACGGTGGATTCTCCTCAGCTCTTTTGTCTGGAACCATCCCGTTCTGATCCCACTCCGTGAACTAACTCTAGTAAAAATGTCCTCAGGAGAACAGCTGGGTGGAGCTGGCACATGTATGTGTAGCCGTAGGCCATTTACCCTCAGGGTGTGGTGCTCCTGGGTGAGGTAAGTGGCCACCTGGGAGTTGAGGGTCACGGCGTCCAGGAACTGTGTCCACAGCGCCATCAGGTGGGATGCCAGCCAGGCCAGGTCCCTGCTGATCTGCTCGGCTATCTTCTCTGGATTGTTCAGCATCTGAATGTGCAGAAGGGAGGTGCAGTCAGGAAATGAAGGGTCGTGGGCGGGATGAGGGTGCTCCTGGGACAGAGGCACGGTCCCTGGGAAACCTCCACGCGGGGGAGAGGAGGAGGGGAGGAGGGCAAGCTGGATTCTCCAACCTGAACCCCTCGCTGGTGACCAGCAGCCTGCTGTCCCAACGCTCGGCTCCGTGTTGCCCCTGGGAACCACCAAGCCCTCAGTCTGGCTCCACTGTCTCCCCGAAATCCTCCTCCTTCACTGTCTCCCCGAAATCCTCCTCCTTCACTGTCTCCCCGAAATCCTCCTCCTTCACTGTCTCCCCGAAATCCTCCTCCTTCACTGTCTCCCCGAAATCCTCCTCCTTCACTGTCTCCCCGAAATCCTCCTCCTTCACTGTCTCCCCGAAGTCCTCCTCCTTGCATCTTTGCTTGCCTCACCATACAGCTAGAAACCACTGAACACTCAGTTCTAAGGACAGGAGGTGTGGCTCAGGTGGTAGAGCACCAGCCAATGAGTGAAAGCATCAGATACCGAGTTCGAGTCTAAGCCTTGGTTTAAAACAAAAAAGAAAGATAAGGGCTGGGAAGGTGGCTCTATGGTAGAGTGCTTGCCTTGCATGTACGAAGCCCTGGGTTTGATTCCTCAGCACCACATAAACACAAAAAGCTCAAGTAGTGCTGTGGCTCAAGTGGTAGAGTGCTCGCCTTGAACAAAAGAAGCTCAGGGACAGTGCTCAGGCCGAGTTCAAGCCCCAGGACTGGAAAAAGAAAGACAAGAACTCAGTTCTAGTGACTTACTTCTGATAACTCTGAGACTGACCTCTTCTGCCTTAGTTTGTCCATGAAGGGCAGCCACAGCCCTCTCCGGACACCTGTGGCTGGTGTCTCTGCCGCGTTCCCTCCTTGCCTACCCTTCTCCATATTCTTGCGTCTAGCACCCTGGCTGAAAGTGTGAACTCTACATTAAATCCACGGGTGCCCTGGTGTCTGTGGGTGACCTCCACAGCCATGCTGCAGCCCGGGCTTCCTGGGCCTCTGGCTCTGGGTCCTGCGTCTCCCCTCCACCTCTGACACAAGTGGGAATTCAGAGCTCAGCCACCAGGGGGAATGAGCACAAGACAGGAAGCTATCCATAATGCATGTTTGGGGGACCATTATCCGCTCCCCCCCGCCCCCAGCTAATTAGACAAATGGCTTCACATAAGGCTAAAGCGGCTTCTAATGAAGCAGCAGGAAGTCTTCGCTGCGCTCACAGATGCCTGTGACACATGGCTAGGAGGGCTTTCTGCAGACCAGGGAGGGGCTGCACATTAGCAAGCAAGCGGCCCGGCCCAGTGCTGGGTGCCGGCTCCACCCAGCTGCTGGCCACTGCCTCCAGCTGCCTGTCCACCCTTCACCCCCAGCTCGGCTTATGGGGAGCAAGCAGTAAGCTATATTTTATATTCTAGAAAACCAGATATTGCTATCTTAACTAGTAAGCCGGCATCAGTGGCTCACACCTATAATCCTAGCTACTCAGGAGGCTGAGAGCTAAGGATCAAGGTTCAAAGCTAGCCTGGGCAGGAAAGTCCATGAGACTCTTATCTCCAGTGAACTACCAGAAAACAGAAAGTGGCACTGTGGCTCAAGTGGTAGAGTGCTCGCCTTGAGCTAAAGAGCTGAGAGACAACACCTAGGCCCAGAGTTCAAGCCCCACGACTGACAAAAAAAAGTATATTTTCCAGCAGGTACTCTGCTAGTCCCTGACCAATTTGAGGTCTCTAAATGCTGGGCTGGGTTTCCTGAGGACCCTTCTGCTCTGTGCGGGGAGCACCGCCCTCTCCTTGCTCATCCTGCATGGCGGGGTGTGCCCCCCCCCCCCCGCTGCTCCTCCCCAGGCTTTGCAGCCCCAGCTCCAGCCGGCCCTGGTCCGGGCTGTGTGCTCCCCACGCCAGAGCCACGCTGCCCCCATTCCCGCGGTGTCTCTGGCTGGGAGCTGGGCCTCACGCTGCCCACTCCCTCTGCCTGGATGTCTGACACTGCCCTCCCTGTGTCTGGCAAGCTAGCGTGTTTCCAGAACCCTCTGAGACAGAACCAGCCCCCCTCCCCCCTCTCCTTGCTCCACAGAGCCTGCTCCTATCTCCAGGCTCAGGCTGCAGACCTGGCTGCTCTTCCACATGGGTATGTTATGCCCTAACGCTAATTTTCTGAGTGACCAGCACTTAGCAGATGCTCAGGAGCCATCCTAAGGCTCACATAGAGTAAAGGTATGTGGAAAACCACTGCTGCAGGGCTCTGGTGTTCAAATCGTCTTAAATCACCTAAAGCAGGGTCCAGCCTTCCATCCTGCGGCAGGAGCAGGTGCTTGAGATGGACGCATAGATTTGCTACACGGCCACCAGGTGGCGATGTTCTCCGTCTAAATGGCAGGGTGTGTGGGTGAGCCTGGCTTGGAGCAGCGCTGGGGAGAGGGCAGGGGTTATCTCCCCCCAGCCGGCCAGGTCCACCTTTCAGCAGTAGACTCATGCCGATCCCACTCACCCTTCCCTCCTGGTCACCTGGCCCCCTCCTGCAGCAGTGACAATAAAATGCAGTGACAAAAAAGGCTGCAGCAGCAACACAGTCACTCAAAGTCAAGATCCAGCAACCTTCCTTCCCCCTGCCCTAATCTGGGGGTAGAGAGGAGGCAAGGCATGGCCTCTGGTGAGATGTGTTGGGTAAACGCTTTGGCAGCAGTGATCCGAGGTGACGGACTTGCTGTAGACGCTGGTAGCCCGGGCAGAGTCCGGCACCCAGCCCCTAGGGCCGGCTAACACTCAGAAAGCCATACTCCCATCCTCAGAAAATGAACGGGGACATGGAAACGCTTCCCTCAGTATGACACAACAGATGTGCCTCCACTCCGTGATGCCGGTACCCGTGCTGGTGTGACTGCCACTAATCCCCGGTGAGGTACCTTCGTCTCCCCAGGTCCTGGCACAGAGCGTCTGCAGCGGAGCAGTTTCAGGGGTGTCTTTTGTTATTCCTAAGGTCCTTTCGGACCCACTGAGTTTATGTTAATAGGGTGGCTCACACCCTTGGACCCTCGGACACCTTCACTTTGGGGGTTGGTTACCAGAAAGATCTACTCAAGATGAATGCCTGGTGATTTTCCCACTTCGGGGACCGTGTCGATTGTCAGTGGGCAGGTTTAATCCAGCGGCGCTCTGCCCTGCAGTCTCCCTGAGAACCCTAACCAGCAGGGCCTGGTCAGAAAAGGTTGGTGGCATCCCATCTGCCAGAGGGTGACCATGCCCAGCTTCAGGGACAGAAGCTTGCCCTCCTCACCCCTTCAGATCCCGCCCTATGCACCTCTTCCTCTACATCCTTCGTTGTATCCTTTCCGCAACCACACTAAAAGTTAGAACGTGTTTCCCAAGTTTGCTGAGCCATTTGATCAAATTATCCAACTGAAAGGGGAAGCCTGGCTGCCTCTGATTTAAGAGGCAGGAGAGGCCCCGGCCCAGCCCCTGGTAAGTCTTAAAGGACTGTGACTTTTGCTTATGGGACCAAATGACCTTGATCGTCTGACCTTGAGCTATGGTTAGCATGAGAAAAATCCCTACACCTCTGATGCCGTAAGTGTTCTGTGGTAGAAACCAATCTTTTCCTCTTAGGAACCCGGCGTCTTCATGGCTCCTCTGGCCTGGGAGATTGATCCAAGCATTCCGGCCTGAGCAGCGCACAGTCCCCGCCCCATGCCGGGGACCCCTCCCTGAACCCTGGCTGTCCCTTGTCCCCCCCTCCCCTCGCTCAGAGCCTGGCTGGCTGCTCAACACAGGCAGCCCTCTGCTTCCTGCCTGGAGGCTCCCCTTCCTTCCACCCAAGGTCAGTGCCCGAATTACCTGTAGCTCAGAGCACAGCCGAGAGAGCGTTTCTTCCACAGCCAGGGCCTCTGGGAAGGAAGAAGAAAGATCACACAGTTCAACAGACGTGTGCCAGAATGGGACTGCTGACTAAGAGAGAAGCCTGCCTTTCCAGCGAGCACTGAAGTTGAATGTCCTGTCACAGCCCTAGAGGACACCTTCCTGTGAGTGTAGCCTGCTTACACACCCCATTGCAGGACCCAAGCTAAGCCCGCATTTACTTGTGCCATTTTGCCACAGATTCATACAGTCATGGACTTGAATATCCACCTTGCAGATGAAAAGGTAGCAGCCCAGAGAAGCAGGTGCAGTGTGAGCCGGCTGCACAGCTCCGAGTCTAGGAGGTCAGTCAGCACCAGAACCTTCCAGGCCGCTCACAGGAAACAGGCTGTCTACGAAGGAGAACCAGGGGCCTCTGGAGGTGTGCAAGCAGACACTGCCTGTGATGGTGTCTAGACTCATCCCTTGTAAATGCTCCATCATTTGGAGTTGGCTCTGATACGTTTTTCTCTATCTATAATTCCCTTACACTCCCTCCTTGCCCTCTTTCCCTCCTTCCTTCCTTCCTTCCTTCCTTCCTTCCTTCCTTCTTTCCTTCCTTCCTTCCTTCCTTTCTTCCTTCTTTCCCTCCTTCCTTCCTTCCTGCCTTCCTTCCTTCCTGCCTTCCTTCCTTCCTTCCAACTCATTTGTCCACTCTCACAGCACATGTCTGGAGTGTGGCGTGACATTAGAGAACCCTGCCCAGAGGTGGGCATGGGCCCGTTCCTCAGCTCTGCTCCACCTTGCCAGGTGACCCTGAGGATTCCTGGCCCTTCAGTTCTGTCAGTCAAGAGCATTTGCACTCCACAATGTTCGATCACTGGAGAATTCATGTGCAAGAATTTGTTGTCCTCAGAACACTGTAAGTGTGAAGGAGGACAGGTACTGCATGGTTTCCTTAATCACCCAGATCAAGTGTGAGCTCTGCACAGCCCTGTGTGCACAGCCCTGTGTGCACAGCTCTGCATTCTAGCTGGGAGGCTCTTTGTGAACATCGTTTCATGCAACAAGGTAGCTTTAGGAGGTCGTTGGGGTTGGGACAGGTGGCGGAGAATGGTGGCAGGTGTGTGGTACTCACAAACTGATGTGTTAAATTAAATCCCCTTTGACAACTACTTGAAGATCATGATTTTTAAAAGTTTATTTTACACTTCTGTAAACTGTAATTTTTTAAATTACAGCCTTCCCTAATTTTTTTTTTCTTTTGTGGTTCTGGGGATTGACATCCTAATCGTTTTGTTGTTGTTGTTGTTTATGTCAGTCCTGGAGCTTGAACTCTGGGCCTGGGTGCTGTCCCTGAGCTCTTCAGCTCAAGGCTAGCACTCTACCACTTGAGCCACAGCACCACTTCTGGTTTTCTGGTGGTATATTGGAGATTAGAGTCTCATGGACTTTTCTGCCCGGGCTGGCTTTGAACCATGGTCCTCAGATCTCAGCCTCCTCAGTAGCTAGCATGACAGGCGTGAGCCACCGGCACCCAGCTGACACCCTAATCTTTAAAGACTGTTAACCAGCATTTCCCCACACCCCAAAGAGCAATTTAACATTATGCCCCAGGTGTGCCTGGCATGAAGTAAATGTTCAAAAGAGTGGTTGGTGAATGAACGAATGAACGAATGAATGAATGAGGCACACTGGAGGCACGCTGCCTTTCCTGCACACTTCCATGGTCCTGCCCCGCAGGGAGGAGGAGCGCGTGCACAGAAACCTGCCTGGGTGCTAATGTCCTCCCTGAGATGAGTCCCAGCCCCGCCCGGGCGCCTCCTCCCTGCGCTCTGCCGGCCGCCGGCCGTACCACCGCTTACTCAGCTCCGCGTGGGGCAGCTCCGGGACGTCCCGCATGATGACGTGGAAGTAGAGGCGCAGCCCGCGGTAGGCGTGCAGGAGCAGGAAGCACAGGTCCCGGTGCCACTTGCGGGCATGCTGCATGCAGTTCTCCGAGGGCACGTAGAAGCTTCCCTGCGGGGGCAAGGCGGAGGCAAAGCTGGGCGTTCCTGTGCCTGTCCCGGGGGGCACAGCTCTCCCACCCTCTGCCTGCCCAGGTCTACGTTCACAGAACAAAATCGCTGGAGGTTGGAGCTTGAGGTGGTGGCAGACTCCTGTAATCCCAGCGGCCGGGATGGTGGGGTGAGGCCAGCCTGGACAAGAAGCCAGTGAGCCCTCCATCCCAACCGACAAGGCCCGACTCGGTGGGTCAGTGCTACACCCCCAATCTAGGTTTGTACTGGGCAATAAACATGAGACCCTATCTCAAACAACTGATGCCACGATGAGCCATGGGTCTGACCCAAGTGGTAGAGCAACGGTTGAACAAACGTGAGTCTCTGAGTTCAAACCCCAGAGCATTTGGAGGCTCGGGGAAGGAGGCCTGGTCCATGGGAAGCCCGAGGGATGGCTGAGATTCCAGGGAGAAATGTGAATTTCAATCAGTTCTTTCTTCCTCCAGGTAGGAAAAACTGCGATAGCTCTATTCTATGGCATTTACATTAAAATAGTAATATAAATAATATTAGTAACAATATCAGTAAACGACGAAGATGGTGGTGATGATGATGATGCGGCGATGGTGGTGGTGGTGATGGCGGTGACATCGACAATGATAGTGGTGACAATGGCGGCGGTGGTGATGGTGGAGCTGGCGATGGTGGTAAAGATGGCTGTAGTGATGGTGGTGATTAAGATGCTGCTGCTGATAGCCGGACACTTCGTGTCGACGGCCTAACCCGCTTACAATCCCCTCTCCCCAGCTCAGACAGGGCAGGCAAAGGCCGAGCCATTATGTTCCCGTTCACAGGAAACAGAGGTTGAGAAAGACTCTTGTGGCAATTTGACAGGTAGTTGCAGATAATGCCATAGGGGGAGAAGAAGCCTTGCACAACAGTAGTGTCTTGTGAGCTGAGTCTCTCACGTTGAAGTGCAGCTCACAAGAGCTCTGAGTGTTAGAATGGACATAGCGTGATTTGTTTGTACAAAGTAGTCTGTCCACCAGGGCAAGAGTCTAAGTCCAGAACACACTTAGAGGCTGTGGGAAGCAGCAATCCTCTCTGTGTCAAACCAAAATGTCCCCCACTCCCTGCTTATTCCCAGCTGCCACTCTGTACTGATATTTCCTGGAACTCCTTGCTTCTTGGCTTCGGTTGTAACAGTCAGCTATGTGTGCTGATGTAACAAGCCGGCCATGTCAAAGGCATGCCTCCTCATCACCCGGCTCGAGTGGCCATTTCCACTGACTTCACCCGTCTCCTCCAACAGCCCCCTGCTCCCCGGCCCCACACCCGGCCAGCTGTGATAAGAAGAGCATCTCTGAAGGACAGACAGCTTCCCCCAGGACGGACCTCACACTGCTGGTTACAGTGGTTCTCACTCCCTTATGACACACCATGACCCTGGGAAAGGCAATGAGCCTGGCTCCTTAGAAATGAGAAGAAACAAAGCCACCCCAGGGGTCGGGGTCAACACGGGCAGGCCGCTGGGCCGAGGAGGTGCACACGGAGAGCGAGGCCACACCCGTCTGGGCAGAGCCATGCACCTCCATCAGACCCCCCGAACCCCTCGGATGGCTGCGCTCTCTGAGCAGAACTTGGAGGGGGCGGGGCTCCCGAAGACACCACCGGGGTAAGCTCCCACTGTGGGGCCCGGGTGTACAGAGATGCCCGGTTCTCTGAGCAAGAGCCCAGCGTGGGTGCCCATGCATAGACCGTGCATGTGGGTTTACTCCGGCGAGAGCCTGGTCTTCAAAGGCACACACGACGTTCACCGGTGTTCAGAAGCAAAAGATTCCCCCCCTTTCATAACCAGCAATTTCAGCCCAGTAGAATGGCTGTGTCCCCTGAGCACTCGGAGTCTCTTTCTGTCTCTGATCTCTGCCATTATGTGAAGATGGGGCTCAGAGCAGCCCGCGGAGCTGTGGGGAGCCAGCCAAGCTTGGGCACTGCAGGAGGCGTGTCACCCTCCCAGGTTTGGAGAACAAGAAGGAAATCAGCGCTTGTGAATCATGGGATCGTCGCTCGAGCTTGAGCTCGGCAGACCTTCCATAAGCAGCATTGAGCGTCCCATTTAGCTTTTCAAAATAGAGCATAGATAGGGAAATCCGAAACCTCAACAGCACCGTTTCCAATTCTCTAGAGGTTCATGCTTTCCTGTAGAACCTCCTAGAACTCCATACATATATGTGCATGTTAACAAATATCTTACATATTTACATACATAAATATATAAATATTTGATATATATCACATATCTATATATATACATATTGTTCGTATGTTTGTAAGCATACAGAGATGCACTCACACATTGGAGAATGTTCTGGGCTATCTCTCCATTGTTTTATCACCAAACCCCTCTGATCAGACAAACACCTGAGTAACAGGAACCCCTATTTCCATTCCACAGATCAAAAGAAGTGAGTGAGTCACGCACAGTCCCTTGTTTGCCAGGAGCAGAGATGAGGATCCAAATTCCGGTGTGGGAAGAAGGCGGTGCGTCCTCAGCGGGCAGCACGTGCCCTCCCGGGCCGTGCCGACAGCAGACACATGCTCTCCACAAAGCTGGGCTTGCTCTGACAAAAGCATTCATTTAAGTCCTGCGGTGTGTCTCCATTAGCTGTGACGAAGCAGACTTGAAAAGCAGCAGTGAGGGCTTACCCAGGCCTCACGGCCAGCACTCTCCCTGCCCCATGTCTGTCTGTCTGTCTTGCACTGATCAGTCCTGCCATTCATCCACCCCGTTCAAAAACCCACCTTCCGACCTCCACGGCCTTGCTCTGAATGGTAGAGAATGCAGGGTTGTACGGTGTCCGTGACTAAGCTTGACTTTTGCAAACAGATGCAAGCACATTCCTCCACAGAGACATAAAGACAACTTCAGGGAATCTGCAAAGGCTGACGCAACACGATCTCTGAGAAATAAGAAGTCAAAACGCTATTCCAAAACAAAGCGCCAAAGGTAGATGGCTGAGGATCCTTACACAAAACAGCTCAGTTCTCTCTAAGTGACTCCATAGTGTGGCCTTTTGAAAGTGAGTGATGTACCATGGAAAATCTGATTATCTAGCCCTGTGGGCTGTCAGAGTCCAGATCTGTGCAGAAAAGCCAGGCCACCGCCATTAGAATTGGGAAGGCAGAGCTCCACCATCTCCCTAGCAAAAAGCCAAGGACACTTTAGAAACCCACTTTTCACTGTCGGCAATGAAATCCTGAAATAATAAAGTTGGAACCGAACAGGGCCTGCATTCTAAAGGCCCAGCCCCCAGTACCTGCACAAAATAAGAGCTGTTTCTGCCTGTCTGTGCCCGAATTTGGTGTAGAATATAGATTCTGGGGCATGAGCTACAGTGCAGTCATCTCTCTATATATCTTTATTTTATTTTATTTTATTTTGCAATTTTGCCACTTAAATCCAGGCTCTGATGTTTGCAGTACGCTTGCTGACTCATTCCTCAGGACATTTGTGTGTGTGTGTGTGTGTGTGTGTGTGTGCTGTTCTGGGGCTTAAACTTGGGCACTGTCCCTGACTTTTGTTTGCTCAAGGTTAGTGCTCTACTACCTGAGCCACAGCTCCACTTCTGGCTGTTTTTACTAGTTAATTGGAAAAAAGAGTCTCTCAGACTTTCCTGCCTGGGCTGGCTTTGAACTGTGATCCTTAAATCCCAGCTTTCTAGAATTACAGGCATGAGCCACTGGTGCTTGGCTTCCCAGTACATTTTAAATACCAATTATTTTAATCATTTTGAGCTAAAGTCCCACATTTTCACTTGGTTGTGTATGGATGTTACCATGCTGGGGCCTGAATTCAGGCCTGGGCACTGTGCTTAAGCTTTTTTTTTTCCCCCTCAAGGCTAGTGCTGTGCCACTTGAACCACAGCTCCATTTCCAGCTTTTTGGTAGTTTACTAGAGATAAGAGTCTCACAGACTTTGCTGGTTGACCTGTCTTCAAACCATGATCCTCAGATCTCAACCTCCTGAGTAGATAGGATAAAGGCATGAGCCATCTGGTATATGTTTTATTTTTGCCCTTGACCTTACCAACAAGCTAGAGAGACAGGTACACACTATCATGCCTAGGTATTGATTGAAAATGGCTCTGAACCAACGTTTGCCCGGGCTAGCCTCTATCCCCGATCCTCTCAACCTGTCTTCCAAGTAGCTACGTCCCTGGCTCTTTATATTTTCTTTATTGTCTCCCTAACTTCGCTTGGGCTGGCCTTGAACTCACAATATCCATGCGCTGCTATACTCAGATAGGACTCTTTCTGTCTTAGTTATTCTCACACCACTAAGAGGTAATTTTACATTTTGTAGACAAGGTAACTGTCAGTGCTAATAAGGATGACCCAGGGTTGAGCATAAGATGTGTGATCTGTCACTAACTTTGGAAAAGTACTTGACACTTGTGCTCCAGACTGAACCTCAGCTGTCCTCAGAAGGCAAGAATGAAGATAATAAAGAGAGATAGTCCCATCCACAAAGCTCAACAAACACTCACCCGCCCCCCAGACTTCTTATAATCACGACTGGAATAAATTCCCCATAGCATACTCAAGTCATGTCCTCTTCTTTAGATCTATTTAGAACTTCCAGAAATAATAGCTGCTAGTAATCACATACTACCCATATCATTCATAACCATATCATTATTAATCATATGGCATCTCTGTTATTGCCACCAGCATACTCACAATGCATTCTGTGAGAACACACAGAACGTTACTAAGTTGTTTGAGTTGAGGGAATATTGTCTCACACTAAGTACCAAGATTGGGTTTGCTGCTGTGCAACGTAGTAACTGGCCTACTAGAAGACACCTGGAGGTGTTGAATGCATAACAGGCACACATGACCCTTTAAAACCAGCTTCCCAGCTTTAAGTTCAACTCTTCAAGTTCCACTGTGGCAGCATCTTGAAAGGTTTGGTAGATGGGCAAGGATGAAGGGTACCAGAGAGAAGTTAGGAAACAA